TTTCCAGACTGCAATAGGGTGGCTATTAAAGCACACCTCTTAGAAGATCAATGGTGTTGCACAACTGAAGAGTCATGGGGCAAGTTACCCTTTAGGGGCCTCCACACCTAGGCACTCATTTTCCCCATTTTTTTCCTCCCTGCTTCTCTACTTCCAAGTGTTATTCGTCTTTTCATTCTTTCTTTCCCTCTTTACTTCACATCTGGCAAGTACAAATCTGAGTCTGGCCTAGAGATCCACGAGGCTCCTGTTATGAGAACTATATGAGGTAGGTACACTTTTTCAGCATCTCAGTTCTCCATAATTATCCTGGCCTGCCACTTATTTAGCCTTGGAAATAGAGTAGTAACCTAGATTACTCTGGGACCTGTACCTATGACATACCCCATCCATGGGGTTTGTGATGAGAACCCCCCCAGAGGAAATATTGGGCCAACTTGGCACTGATGGTGCCAGCCTCTCGCAAAGTAGATTTGAACAAAGAGGTGAAAACTGATTTATACCCTGACCATCCAAATCAAAATAGCAAGTTACTGCCTGGAATGCCAACAAAGCAGGATGATCCTCTGATGTCTGGTTTATTTCTAGTTCTCTCTTAGGTGATGAAAGCTGCATCTCTTCACTGTTTCTTAAAGCAGGCAGGCAGATCCTTCTGGGCCCTTCTCCTTCATGAATGGTTCCATTGTGTAAACATCATCCTCTATTTCTTCACCCTGACTGGATATGAGGTTAAAAACATATTTGGGAAAGGAGCTTAGCACTCCCACTTTTATTTTGAAGGATAAGCCTCTACCTGAAGGAGGAGAGGCAACTAGGAAACAGCAACAGTGAGCCCCTCCTTTCTCCATCCCTTCAGCACAAGCTGGAAAACTGGGGTGAGATACTTCCCTGCCTGGGCACCTTCTCTTCAAAGTTAAGGTCATAAGAACATGTCCCACCTAGTCCAGCATCTAGTGTCACACAGTGGCCAACTGGGTGCATTTGGAAGCTCACCTTTATCCCCACCCCACTCCCAGGTCCCTTCCTAGCAATCAGTATTTAAGTCCTGCTGCCTATAGACACATCCACACAGCCAGCAAAACACACTTTCATGAGTTGATACAAATTAGCTTTCCCCAGCAGATCTCTGCGTTGTCTCATTAACAAAGTGGGCAAGTGGAGTTTCCCTGACAGTTTAGTGGAGGGCAAGTTAAGGTGCAGTGATCGGTAGATGTCTGCCCATGGAAGAACATCCACCAGTTACTCCCCTTGATGTGGGCTAGGAAAGGAGGCGTGTTTTAAGAGAGGCTACAGTGGCAGGTTTAGTTGCCTCCTTGAACTTCTAAATATAAACACCAGGCATTTATTTCTATGTGGACCTGACATGTGTCCCTACAGAGAAGTCCTAGTCTGCTGCTTTCTCCAGCAGTCTGGGTGCTGCTGTTCCTCTTTTGTGGATCCTCATGGCTCATGAGGTTCTTGGTGTTGCTGTCCTTTTACTTGGGGTCCTCCTAGATTCACAGCCTGTTTGATAAGGTGGCACCTATGGCCAGGAAGACCTTCTCAAAGTTTCATCTGGTACACCAGTTACAACCTCATCTGGAATAGGAGGCTCTATTCGCAGTCACTCATGCCTTTCTCACTTTTCAATTTGACTATCACAATATACACTCCACGGGGCTGTAACAGCTGGTCCACAAAGCAACAGCTGGAGTAGTTACTGGTGGTTTCCAATTTGCCCATATAATACCATGACTTTGAAAACCACATTGGTTCCTAGGTAACTTTCAGGTGCAATTGAAGGTCCTGGTTGTCATCTTTAAAGCCTTAAATGATTCAGAACTTGGACATCTGCAAGACTGCCTCCCCACCCCACAATTGTTAGAAAATCAGGCAAAACATGCTTTTTCATCAGATCTTAGGGGTTGGAATGATACATTTGGTTCCCTTTAACAATAGAATGTGTCTTTATTTGGTGATTCACATATGGATTAAATTCCAGGGCTATACGTTGCTATATATTGTTAATTCTTATGAATTGTTGTTGCTATTTTATTGTTATATCTATTGTATGCTTTTAACCCAATTTACAGTGGTTGGGATGTACATTGCTCAGGGTTGCCTTGGATTGTATTAGTTTATAAGTCCAGTAGAGTAAGTAAATAAGTGCCAGTCGAGCACCACAAAGCAAAGTGGTCACAGAGGGAAGCTGGCAGCGAGCAGAGAGGAGGGTGTGTGTCCACATCCGAACCAAACAGCCAATAGAAGTTGGGTAGATCCCAGCCTCTGCTGCTTCAGCACCACGGAAGCAACACAAACAGCGCATGCAGCAAGCCTTGGATTGCAAAACCACGGGGATCAATACTTCCACACTGGATTAAAAAAAATCCCTAAATCAGCAGGTGAAGTAAGGGCCACATGATATCAATGTGTCCTTAAAGAACAGTTAGTGAGGAATCTCCAAGCCAAAGTTAGGGGATGTGCCCTAGAATTCAGGAGGTAGCACACATCCCTCAGTAGCAGTCACCGCTTGCCTGATTCTCCACAAACTAGTCCGGTCTTCTTTTAAAACCATCCAAGTTGGCTGCCATTTCTACAACTGCTGGCAGCAAATTCCAGTTTACCTATGCTCTATGTGAAGAAAGTATTCCTAAATCTACCTGTGTTTAGTTTCAGTGTATGACCTTGAGTTTTAACAGTAGGAGCAAGGGAGGGAAACTCTCCCTCCACATTATTTATGCCCTGAGTGACTTTATATATCTCTGTCATGTCTCCCATTACCTTCTTGCTTTCTAAGCTAAAGAGCCTCCATTGCGCTGTTTCCCCCAATCATTTGGGTTGTCCTTTTTTTGCAGCTTTTTCAGTTCTATGATATCCTTCCTAAGGAGCAATGCTAGAGCTGCCCACAATACTCCAAGCATGGCCTCACCACAGATTTGCTTTGCCACTCACAAGGCCAGGCAGCAACTGTGGTAGCAACAGAAAGGAGCAGCTGCTTCTCCTTCTGCTAACCTGCTTACTACATCTGGGAGGATGAGAGTCACAAAGCTACCTGGGGAGAAAGTATTAGGAGGCCCCTCTGCCCGTTCATTCACTGACCAGGTTCACACAACATATTAAACCAAAGGCATGGCTTGCATGACAGATTAAGAACCAGATTGAAAAGCTTGGTTAGCAGAGCCTGTGGACTAGCAATTTACCCCGTTTCCTGAAACTGAATTTTAAGTTCACAGGACACAGTTCCCCTTAGATTAAACCTCCACAATTGCAACCTGCGTGGTCCTGTTCATCAAGCTTTGGTTTAGTGTGTCAAGTGATCTGTGCCACTCTGTGCTGTGGAGGATTGTGCTAGCGATCAAATGAATGTGGCGACAAGGAAACTGTACCTTTTATTCCTTCTCATAACAATGTTCAGTACAGAGGTCATCCCAAGGACTTCTTGGCCAGGGATGGGTGCTGAGGAAAGAATGGCTTTTTGTCCATTGTCTCTGTTTTGACAAAAAGCTCACCAATAGGATGCTTTTCTTTCAAAATAAAAGTGGCTGGGTTAAGCATATCAGTTATCAGTGAAGATAAACGGATTTATCTGCAGGTGTATTTAGCCTAAAAGTGGGGGAGTTACAACCCTCTGATGTTGCTGAACTACAATCTCTACTTCCCACATTAGACAAACCGGCTGGGTTTGCTTAGTACTGAGGTTAAGACCATATGGAAGCCATAGTTCTCCCTGCAATTTAGGCCCTAATGTTGCCAGCAGATCCCCAGGATCTCTTTCCAGATGATGGGGAGAGGAATGAGTACAAAATTATGCCTTCTTTACTCATTAGTTACAGAAACCGAGAGGTGGCACTTTTGTTGTGAAATTTCCCCAATACAAGCCATTGATGTTGAACAACAAAAAACCTGCTCCTCATTTTGCCTAAACAGCATTATTTCTCTGAATTTTGTGAAGTCTGTGGCTTTGCAGGTATGACAAACACTCCTTGACCTGTGCTAATGATATCAGTGACAAGTACAGGCCCCTTTCTGCTGATTGTGCTTCTGTGCTAGTCCCAGATGCAGCACACACAGAAATCTAGCAGCCAAAGTTTTTCAACCACTTATTCCATGGCACAAAACACTCACTTCTTCGTAACCTAAGCCTTCTCAATGTTTCCATACATAAGGCAATAGTGACCAGAAGGGAGATTCAAACCTCTGGATTCTTTGCAGTTGATTGGCCAAGATTTCTGACTTCCAATTGTTTAAGAATAGCAGCAATAAATGTACTCCCCACCCCACCCCCATCCAGACAAATTTGTAACACTGATCCGTAGAAAGCCTGGGCTGTATATTTTGTGAAGGAGAATTGTGAGCTCTGCTCAGCTCCGTGTCTGCATTCAAAGCAAATTTTTGCAGCAGGTCCAGGTGGTGAAAGAGATAGATTTAAAGCAGACCTCCCAAGCCTGAAGTCCACTCAGCCTGGACGTAAAGTACGAATACAGAGGTTGTTTTCCTGTTTCAAAAAGGTGAAATATGTACCGATATGAATAAGACTGTCTTGCTCCGATTGTTATAAAGGTTTAAAAAGAAAAACAATTGTAGGCTTGCAGGAATTCCTCTCCCCACATCATGCACTGGGCAGCCACATTACCTGTTCCCAACCTCCTTCCATGGTCACCATGGCGTGTACCTTCCTCCCAGCTGCACAACAGGCAGAAATCCATCAGATGCATCTCCCCTTCCTAGTTTAAATGGACAGCAAATTAAAACATCTACGGTTAAATTCCTATTATTAACTGCTGATAAGGGGCCAGAGGAGAGGAGATGCGTATATCACCATTCAAAAATAAGGTACATTTGCAAAAGCAAAACGTGCTCAAGAGACTCTCATGCTTCTCCCCCCGCCCCCCTCGCGCGCCAAGATGGCAGAACTCTTTCTATGCATTCCTTCTCCCCGCACCCTGTTCCCATGATGCAGTTCTTCTTCAGCGCAATGCATCCTGGGACTTGTAGTATTCCCATCTCATCGGACATTGGCTTCATATACAAATGCAGGCTGGAGGCGAGATCTCTGTAGGCGTTCCAGTTCAACGAAGGGTAGTTTTTCAGCAACTTTCCTGGGATTATATAACACCATAAATTTGAAAGGTAGAAGAACGACCCCCATGTTGGTTAAAGCGTTAAGAAATGCTAAATGCTTGTAAATTAAGTTACTAATAGTTTGGTGTGTTTAATAGAGCTTTTGTGGTAACAGGAAGAACAGCAGCATATACGTAGCGCCTCGTTAAGATTTATAGTGTCGCCGTATCAATGCCCATTCTTTATCAGACCCAATTTGTTCACCAAGACTTTCGCCCAGGTAAAAGGCACACGACTGAAGCTTCACTGCGTAAAAACAATGCCATTATACGCACACGGATGCAGAAATGGAACGCGCTCCCTTGGCATTGCTGCTGTCTTAATGGCATACGGCATTTCCCGAAACAAGCGCGGCGCTACTTTCTTAGACCTGAGCAAATGCAGTCCTAGGCCAGAGTTCTCAGTCAGCTAGTCCACCTGTGACTGGGCAGGATCACCGAAAAGGAGGGCTTACTTGTAATGCTGCAGGCTAAACAAAATTAAAAATCTGCAAACGAACATCTGGAGGTTAGAGAGAAAGACTGGACCGCAGCTTTATCTCGTCTGGCGCGCTGGTTATATGCATGCAGGGAAACGTTTGCGTTAAGGAGCAATCCCTCACGCGCCACCCCTCTTCTCCCCTTCTGAGGTGGTACGGGCTAGACGCAGATTGATCTTCTGGGCGAGAACTCAGCCTTTGGCAGGCTTTACCATTGCTATGGTAATTGCCGTGGGATTACGTGTGTGCTGCAATTACCAGTTGCATACTGCTGGTAAAGAATTAGCAGTGAGCAATGAAACAATTCACCTACTTGCTCTGTGCTGCCACCTGCAGGAGATTGTCATTTGCTGCTGCTGCTTAGTTTCATACTCTCACTTCCAGGACGTGGAAATCTGGGGTGCAGTATCCTTCCATTTTTTATTTTTTTAAAAAAAATAGGGATTGAAAAACAGCAAAAGGTTGTAAGAAAATCCAACCCCCTGACTGAAGTGGGAACACCTGGCTCTGAAACCCTGTTGAAGCTAAGTCAGTGTGGGCTTAGCTGGTGGAAACTCCACACAAAATTCTCTCAGCTTGGTAAAGGAAGAGAGAATGATGGCACTCCATGCCAATAATAATCAGTATTAGGCAGCACCTTCTTACTTGTTCCCTACTTGCTCCGTTAGACCTCATTTATTAAGAACTAATCATTCAGATGTACTCTTGTAATTATGAGTTTCACTGCTCCTCATGAAGGAACTTATATTCAAGACTGCCCCATTTATCTCAAGTCACATACCTGGAAAACCCTCCCTGGTTCCCTTGACAGAGGAAAAGGACCTGCCTTAATTCATCCCTAGATCCAGAGTAGTTCAGAAGTGCTGGTGCCTGAGAATTACATCTGCTACTGAATGCAGCTCAAGAACAGTTTCAGGCAGAGGGAATTGTAGAGACTTGAATGATCTTTTAATCCAAGGCTTTAAAAGCAGTGTTTCTCAACCTTGGCAACTTTAAGATCTGTGGACTTCAATTCCCATACTGGCTAGGGAATTCTAGGAGTTGAAGTCCACAGATCTTAAAGTTGCCAAGGTTGAGAAGCACTACTTTAAAGAATCAAAACTACCATTTTGTCTAAAGTACAACCAATGGTGAGAATGGATGGAAAATGTACCCTAGGACATTTGGAGTTTGTCAAGTGGGACGTAGCTGCACTAGGAAGGCAGTAATTGTAAAGTTCTAACATCAGTGCGTTTCAGAAATAAATTGTGGATGAAAAGCAAACCCGATGAAAGGGGAGATCCTAGATACAAGGTGCTAAAGATACAAGTAGTTCTGTCACCTTGGCTCACAAGAAAAGCATATAAAGACCCTCACCAAAATCTCCAGATAACTTGTGGTTCTTGATTTACTACTAAGCTGCAACTCACAGCATCCCTCAGCATTGCTCATACTGGCAGAGGTTGCTGGGAATTTTAACTCGGGGCCAGCCACCTCTGCACTGGGGTTTGATCTAAGACTCTGCAAAGAACAAATGAACCGATATGTCACAGCACATAAGATCAGTCACTGTTGGGCTGCTACTTGTTCCATGTCAACCAGCTAAGGATTTGATCTTTCAGATGTTGAGACTAAACCTGACACTGAAAGGATATCCTGCAAAGCTTTTCCAGATGCTGCTGTTCCAAGTAGCTTTGCCAAGCCAAAACACAGAAAAGAACAAAAACTACTCAGGGTGTATTTAAACATACCCTCCTTGGCTCTTAACCAATTACAGTTCCTGCTGAGCTTCACTGTGGATGCTCATTCTAAAATCTAGATGCTTAATGTGTTACATCATGCCCGTGTTTTCAATCTGATGCATGCTGTACTTTCTTAGGAACGAATCCTAAACTTAGTGGGACTGTTGGGCAACCACGTGCAGGATTGGTTTGCGCAAAAAAGAAAAAAGAAGAAAAAAGCCTTAATGAAACCAGTGTTGAATCTGAATCCACAACCAGCCATTTGCTCACTATGTTAGACCTATCTCCATGACAGTTCTCCTGTGCCCTTGGAAATTAATCAACTCCACTCCATTACATTTACAAAAAGACTTCTTGGTTCATCCAAGCCTTCTCTAACCTGATGCCCTGCAGACGTTTTAGAGCTGCTACCAAAAATTTCCAACTAACATGGGCATTAGCCAAATTGATTTATAGTGTAATATATAAACACCTATTCAGAATTAAGAGAGAGACACAAATTGAACAGAACTTGCCTATAGATAAGTGGATATAAAATTATAGGTTTTCTGCTTTTTTTCTATTACTGTTCAATATTTGGAGATTATATATTAAAACGTTAATCTGTTGGACTGTTTTAATAGGTATCTTTTAAAAACGAATGATTATCGGTATCATATGATTAAAAAAATATAAAATCTAATTAATAGTGTCTTACAAAGAAGCTAACAAAAATTTTAGCTCCCTGCTGTTTCTGCAGCAAAAAAAGCTGGCTTAATATTGAAAAAAGAAACACTAGAAAATAATTCTAACTGTCCAAATGCAAGATCAAAAATAATTAAGCACAAGAATTGGAGTTTACCAGCAGCTAGCAATTTCCCAGCTAACTGGACTTGATCAACTCTTAAGAGGCCACCCGCACATCAGTCTCTGTTGCATCTCTGCATGATATACTACGCAATCTGGCCGCCTTCTATTATCTCTGCTGGAGATGGATAATTCAGTACAGTATGTCTTTCTGTGAGGTATGATTGAAACATTTAACTGAAGCAACATAACTTCTGAAAGAGGAACAGCCTGTTGTGACTTTGGTTGAGACAATGCTTTTGGTTGGCTGCCTTAGACTCTAAAGAGACAAGCAGAGCTACGATTTCTGCAGAAACAGAAGACTAATTACACTTAGTTTCGTGGAGGATATGAGTAAACAAAAAACATATAACAGTTGCTTCTGGAACACTGAAGAACACAACTTTTAAGAGAGAGATTTATAAAAGGCCCTCAGCAGACTCCCCCAATCTAGTGCTGCCTTGTTATGTTCAATTACAACACCTATCATCCCCAGAGAGCATAACTGTTAAGGCTGCCTTAAGGCTAAAGTACAAATAGCTGGAGAGAAGTATGATTGGCTCTCCAAACATATATTCCTTTATTGCAAAAGGAATAAAAGCTCCCTGGTTGTGGGGGCTGCTAACTTTTTGAAATGGAAAAATACAAAAGAAGAGTTTATTTTAACTCCCATGCTGATTTCTTGATTGACATGGGTTCTTGAAGCAAGTATTAACTCCCTGAATAATGTGAGAGAACCAGCTTCATGGTGGCTGTCTGTTTTTCCTGAACCAGAGCTCATGGCAGCCTTGTGCAAGGGAATGTTAACCTCCTCTCCCTTGCTACTTTCTCAGTTGAATCACAGCCTCCATGCCCAAGCTGCAGGTTGTAAGGGGAAGCTAATGAACTTAAGAAAAACACATTGGAATATTCAATCACACATCTGCCATGTCATGCTTCATTGCCTCCTCCTAAATCTCCCCAACCTTGAGATGGGTGGGATTCATGAAGTCCCAACCCATTTGGAAGGCCCCAGATTTGGAAAGGCTGTCCAAGATCAATACAAAGGAAAAGAAAAAGCAAAAAATAGTATTAACAGTCCAATTTCAGAATGAACTATAGATAGAAAAAAAATCAGTCAAGCAATTTGAGATGCTGTCTGATCAGGAATTCTGTCGCTTTACCACTTGCAGGCCACAAAAAATACAACCACTTGGTAAGCAAGCCAGCATGCTATGTGAAAGAGAGAGAGAGAGAGAGAAAGCAAGGTTAGAGAGCTGACATTCACTATATAAGTGACCTGGAATCTTGTTTACCCCCAAGGCAAAAACAAGAAGACTGGGAAAGGCTGCAAAGCCTGAACAGAGAGAAATGGAGACACCGATTTGGAAAAGTGAATATTTTTTAATTACTGGTGGGTAAAAATGTTTCTATACTGGATTATACCAGACAGTGGCTGATCTAGAAGGTAAGCGGGCTTATACTTGCCAAGAAAATCCCAGGGCTGCAGACTAGATGACTGTAATTCTCATTGACTGTACCCCACCCTCCTTATGCTGGTCTTTGACCGTAATAAAGATTTGATTTGAGACTAGATGGGAAAATCCATCCTGGGAGAAGTTGGTGGCAAATAACTTTTGTGCCAAGAAAAGTGTATAAATATATCCAGCTAGCCATCAGGAGTGGAGTTCAACCTAAGAGAGACTTTGCTGCTATATCAGACATTATATGCAAGACCAAACACAGAAGACCTCTTGGGACTACACCCTCAGAAATCTCAACTAATATGTATCTGATGATTAGAATCAATATTGGACAATAGAAAAAAAATGAAAGTTAAGTTGTAAACTTAGAGTAAGAGTTTAGTGTAAATTGTTACTTATGTCTGTTGTGAGGAAAGTTGGAAGTCATTTTTGTATTTTTTTCTTTTCGTTCTTGTTTTCTGCACTTTTGATTTTTTCTTTCTCTTCTTTTTCATTCTTCCTTTTTCATTCTTTATCTTTAATAATAGTTTTTATTAGTTTTTATTCTTGTTTTAAAATCTAATAAAATTGTTTCTAAAAAATCTCAACTAATATAGCCATAGGAATTCTGGAAGTAGAAATTATTTGTAGGGTACCAGGTTGGCGACAAATGCATTAAATCCTCAAACAAGCTTGCCTGGTTCATGCATTACAGTCTTATTGTGAATGAACATCTTTTCCTTTTCCTCAGGTGTTTTAGGAACCAGTTTTATAGATGTGAAAGACTGTTTCCCTGTTGGTTTTACTGTGATTTCATCTGTCGCATTTATTACTCATTCTTGTACTTTCTATCTCCTGCCTTTATTAATGATACTGTTGGTTTTTACACTGCTTTTCTTTGTCTCATATTATCTATTGGTTCCAGATCACACTTTTTAAACTGATCAGTACACTGTCCAGGACAGTGTTTCTCAACCTTGGCAACTTTAAGATATGTGGCTGGGGAATTCTGGGAGTTGAAGTCCACACATCTTAGAGCTGCCAAGGTTGAGAAACACTGGTCCAGGAAGATACGATGGGTCAGAAATGTAATAAACAAATCATAGGGTATTCTCCATCACAAAACCTGTAATCAGGAGGACAAGATTGTCAATGGCACACTGTGATTCCCTTTCCATGCTTGGGTAGCAAAGGCTAGCTCCATGTAAAAGAAGCAGTTTAGGATAAGTCACTGAAAGGGAGGATAACAGTACTATAATTGTCACTACTCCCAATTTTTGTCATTTGTGTTGTTCCCAATGTTGGTTTCTAATAGCTTTGCTTTTTTATGTTTTAATTGGCTATATGCATTGAATTTCTGTTATTGGGGTACAGGATGAAAGACCAATTTTGTCTCAGCGGTAGACTTTTAACCTCAATCACTAGTGCCCTTCTTTTTGAAGAATCAGTGACTTATTTTCCTTTTTCCTGGATTCTTTTATATCAAGTATATTGAATGCAAAAGAATGAAAGCCTGCTAGATATAATTAGGTTTCAGCCAGCCATCTGAGCTGGGGTTACAGGGGAAGATTTCAAAGCTGTTCTCATAAGAGAGAGAGAGTTAGACTGGTGGAGCAGTTAGAAAGTAATGGAAACAGTATTTTTATAACAATTGTCTCTGAAAACCCTTATTCAGGATTCCCCTACCTAGTTAACTCCAGTAATTTTGAACTTCATTTCCCACAATCCCCTGGTCAGCAGGAAGAAAGAGATTGCCTGACTCTCTAGAAATGCAGTATTTTACATCAAGAGATTTCCACTTTAATTCGTGGAATCTTTGGACTTAATGAAGATGGCTTGATAAATAAACCAAACCCTAGTTTCCTTTAAAGGCATGTAAGCACTGTGTCATTTGTCTTGTAGCCCAAAGCCTCAGGTTCTTCGATCACTGACAATTCTCAGCATTATGCAAGTGTAGAGAATGCAGAATTCTGATTGATTTCCTGGTTGCCAACTTCCAGACATTGCTCCTGTGCCTTTAACAGAAATGTTCTCGCTGAACTTAAGCAGGCGGCTTTTCCCATCTCCATGCCAGGAAAAACTTCCTCCCCTTTATTTGAATTTTTTTAAAACAAAACAAAACTGTACCCATAAATTGGCAGTGCTAGTGTTTTCTTACATGGTTGCTTATTAAAAAAATATGTAAAATTTGACAAAACTGAATGTCCTTGCCATGGCATTTTCCTTAGGAAATAAGATTCTTTGAGAAAAGAAATAGATAAGGAGAATTGGTAGAATCGGACATCTCCAACACTTCATTCTCTGCTTTAACTCCAGTGTTCACTAATCCTTTCCCTACTTTAGGTCTCTAAATATTGGATTATGGTGCCCAACTTTCTCAAACCAGTGGTCGTGTTGATGAAGACAGAATGTGTAATCCAGTAACTTTTGAAGACCCAAGAGTGGGAAAATCCAGTAATCAGAGCTGGGTGAAAAACAGCAACTTTGGATAAAGCCACGTAGAAGCTGAAGCAGTTACTTGGTGGAATGGCAAGTGGACTAGGATGGGAAGTCCAAAGGTGAAGCACCAGTGGTCCTCTAGATACCACCTCACTATGTGGTCTGGGAATAAATAAGCTCAATAATATTTGTACAAGTACACCTAAAACACATGAATCATTACAAAGCAGTTTAATGAAGCCACCTCTTACCCAAAGACTGGAGTCACACTGCATATTGGACCATAAAGAAACCAACCACATTTTAGCCTAACGCATTGGCTAAGTAAACCACAGCCTCTGGGATTTATGATCTAATCTCTCATGTGAAGTCAAAACATTGGGCTCAGCAAACCACATTTCAGTTAGTCAAGGATAAGTGATAAAGGATAAGGATAAGTGCACACATAGCCCATGTGAGCGATAAAGAACCTATGGCCTTTCAAATGTTGCTGAACTACATCTCCCAGCAGATCAGCTCACATGGCAAATAGTAAGGAATGCTGGGTGTTGTAGCTCCTCAACATTTGGGAAGCCACATATTCCCCACCCTTGCCAAGTGTGTGGACACATGAAAGTGCAATGCAGGGGTGGAGGGAGAAGAAGGACTAGATCTCAACTAGGGCTAGTCCCGGGGCCTTTTCCGCCCTGGCATGCCTTCCCTTGTGTCTGCTCTTTCCTCACTTCCCCTCCTGAAAATGAGCTTGTATTGGAAAGAGAGAAGACAGCTTCATATTCAAATGTACGTGACTCGATTGCTTCTCAGTTGACGGTTCCTAGCTACAAATGTGTCTCCCACAATTCCATTGGGAAATGTGTTTGAGGTGACCTGTAGGTGCTGCAGAAGAGACTTGTGTAGCATTCTTCCGATGCCTAAGCTGGTTTGCTTTTAGCCCTTCTGGTGACATGACACTTCTGAAGGCGAGTCTCCCGTTTATTGGCCCTGTAACCAAACAAGACAGAACAGCTGCTTTTTGGTACTTTCTCTTGCCAAAATTAAAGCTCTACTTTCTTGTTTACCCAATAGTCAGAGATGTATGTCTCTGCTTGTCATGAAATGGTTTCTAACAAGAACGTAGAAGAGCTGATAGATTCCAATGGTAGCTTTGCCTGATAGAGATATCCATGGATGGTTTGTACAGTTTTGCAATAGTGGGACTGACTTGCTACTTCCTTCATGCAGCTGTAAGGTGAGAGCTATCCCAAATGTTACACAAATCATACTTGTTATATTGCTTGTAGGGCTCACATTTTTTTAAAGCCATCTTTACTACTTTTGGTAAACTGGGTCAGGAAGATATTTGCTTCCTCCCTGATGAACTCATTTACTATATGCAGTAAGATTCCTTTAAACAATCATGAATGGAAAGATTTCAAGTGTTTTTGCATTTCATTTTCCCACAAAGGTTCAAAGCTGTTAAGCAATATATAATTGATCCACTATTAATACATTAAAGTCAGAAATACCAGCTATGGTATAAGATTAGATTATTAACCCAAAGCATGGGAGATCACCTGCAATGAAAATGCTAAACCTGACAGGTAAATATTTTCAGAGGGGGCTTTCACAACAGGGACTGCCACTGAAGAGGCCCAGTCTTCGGTTGCCATCTGCCTTATTTCTGAAGGTAGGAATATTCTCAGCCAGGGTTCAGATGATAATTGCACTGGACAGGAAGGCTTCTAGCTGGGAGACTATCACGGAAGCCTGAGCTGAAGCCCTTAAAAGCTTTAAAGATCAAAAACAACACTTTGTACTGTGCCCTGCAACTTATTTGAAGCAGCAAGTGGAGAATTTAACACAGGCGAAGTGGGTTTGTTGTTGGGGGTTTTTTGATGGAGCTTTTGTGGCCATCAACGCTCAGAGGTATAGTAACCCCACACCTGTACGTTTTACATCAACCAGACTTAGGCACTTAGAGAATTAATAAATCTCTTTCACAGTAGGAAGAAAACTGCCACACCAAATTTGGCAGCAGACCCTTTATTAGGGCTACTGTCACGGATACCGTAGCAGATATCCAGATGTGCATCAGGCAGCAGCAGAGAATTTGCTTTTTCTGTATTGCTTTGCTGACGTGTAGCTGTCTAGATTTCCGCAACCCAGGTTGGGGGAGGCCTCTCTACTTTAGGCCACGATGCTGCTTGGGCTTCTAGAACCACATCTGGTATTCAGACAGTGCAGAAGGAAGAGGTGAACTATTAGTCTGAACACTAATGAGTGAAACAGCTCCATCTTGCATTGCTACATGTGCTCCCCTCTTTCCTTTTATAGTTTATGGAAACAGGATTAGGAGATAAGCCACCCGGATTACGTGCTTTTGCACATTAAGAAATAAAACATTGGCTTTGTTTACACGGCACAGCAAGTGGACGGTGCCACTTTACTCCCACCATGTAGGCCACCTTGAGTTTCACACATCCTCTATCACGTGCACCCAAAATGACTGCCATCTTGGATATCTTATCTCTCATACCTGGATTAAGATGAGCTCAGGAGGCCGCCTTTTCAAGTTCAAGCTATACTGTAAGCCTGAAACTTAACCAAGCTGTTTGCGTCGGAGTAAAAATAGTACACGTTTACAACTAAGGATAATAATTAAATCTGTTGTGCAAATACAACAGTCATGTCGCTTTGATAAGAATGTTCAAATCTATTTCTACTCATTTCAGCAAAAAAAAAAAAACTTCTTTAATCATAAGAACATGAAAATAATGTCTTACCATACTACTTGTAAAGCTTCTGTTTATTGCTTTAAAAGAGGTCGCATCTCAAAGCTGGCCAGCCCCAGTGGCTTTCATGACTGAGCTTCTAGTCAGGGCAGCACCATTTCCATGACACCAAGCTGGCTCTTGGATTTACAGTTAAACCAGCTTCACTTCCAGGGAGCAGATATTGGGGTAACTTGTAAAACGTTGGTACCATTCACTACATTTGGAACTGTGGCAATGTTGTAAGTCATCAAAAACCACTATTTCCTTCAAGAGGTGAACGTTGGGAAATTGAGTAAAACTTCCTTCTTACATTTTACTTGCAAACACAGCAATGGTAATTGAACTCAAATGTGCCAAATTCCCCTTACCTTAGTCAGGAAAAGAGTGGAAGTTCCCAAAAGACTACAGACACATCCATACACACACTTCATCAGTATATTTGTTGCTGCAATTAGCAAAAAATGTATGTTCCTTGTACGCGTGTGTTTTTAAACAATAACCTTTGGTATTTGAGTTCCCACATGCCAAAAGGCACAGAAGTGTCTTAAAGACTTGGTATAGACAAATCTTGCCAATCCCCAGAGGAAAAAAAAAAAAAAACCAGAGACAACACAACTATTGCCAAATTGACACTGACTCTAAACTAAGCAAGTTACCCAGAACTCTTCAGCTTCTGCAGTCAAGAAGCATATTTATTCATACATCCTACACCAGAAAAAATTGGGCTGACAAAAAATGTTACCTACTTTATAAATATGTTCCTAATTATTGAAAATCAAGGATATACAGAAAAAATTAGATTGTGATTTCAAAAACTGAGCTGGGTATTTCTGGATAAAATAGCAAGTTATTTTGCCCAGCTTCCTCCCATAAGGTATGCAATCAGCCAGACCACTTCCTTTCAGAAGAGCTTTATCGTCTGTTGCCCTTGGAGTAGAGGTACAAGCAGTATTTCATTCCAGAAGGCGCAAACTAAAAATTCAAGACCTCTTTCTGGCATCGAAGTTGCAGTTCCACCCTTCCTGCAGTTTGGAGGCTGAAGGGCTGACGGATGGCATTACACCCACTCCTAAAAATGCCGTCCCCAAAACAAGACACTGAGAGGGCCAGCCTTTGTTCAGAGCTGCTCTTTTCTTTCCCCCAAACCTAGATGAATCTCTCCTCTGGCACTTGCTGGAAAACCCCTTCCAAAAACTGCCAAGTCCTCACCTTGAGCAACCTCCTCCTGTTCTCTAAAAATGGATCCCTAGACATCTCAGCCTCCGGTACAAGGCAGTAAGGATGGTTTATAGAGTGATTTGACTTTGGCCTTCAAAGGCTGGTTTTATCTCTCAGGCTTCACTTGCTGAGTAGAGCAACCACCCAACTTCTTTTCACGTTCCTTTGGTGGGGAGGGGGAAGTAAGGCAATCCTCAGCCCAAAGCAGCTTGGCTGCTGAAAGGGATGAGTGAATGGTGGAAAGTAGCAGGGTAGGGAGAGTATCCATGGGGCAAATGAAGAAGGGGAGAACTAACGGGTAAACTGGCCCTAGAAAGCAAGGTCAGATGGCATTCTTGAACCAGGATGTATCTACAACCTGGAATAGCAGCGGCCCTCTGGGTAATTCGGTTGGGTCAAAGAGCTGAACATTCTTGATCCCTGGACTACCCTTCCCTGAAAGACAGGTCCTATGCTTTCCTGGGGAAAAGGGCCCCAGTAGCTCACTTTGATCTGTAGTGTAGAAATGGTTTAGTGGCCAAGGCAACTGCAGGACATGGAGTTCATCTAATCACTGCAGAGAGCTGTGCATTTTGGTTAAGAAATCTAGAATGCCCTCCAGAGAAGTCCGCGCCTGCCTGCCTGTCATGTGAACTTCCCTTTTCGTTTTCAAAGCTAAACAGAATGCTGCCTGATGTCTGCATCAGTGGGTATTTTTCATTGTTAGGGAGTTCAAATATTAGCCTGTAATTTACAGCCACAGCTCCATTCTAGGTTCCCTCCCAGAGAGATCAAACTAGTAGGGATGAGGCAAGGCCTTTTTTCTGTCGCAGTGCCCCTCAATATTGGTACACCTTCCTAAGGATGTCGGGCATAATTCCTTCAAACAGGAAATGAAGATGTGTATTGCTCCTTACAATTTTTAATGGTCAGGTTAGCTGAGTTATATTTTAAAGATCACCAATTTTGTTTTGTATTGGCTTGCTTTATTTTTTAAATTTAGTTTGTTTACCTTCTAGAGGACCCCAGAGGTTTATAAGGCAAGCCATAAATATCTACCAATTATAAGTACCTAAACAAAGTTATCCAATACATGACTAAAGACACTACTTGTGTGCATTAAAAATGAGGCAATATTTATCATTAGGAGGGAAGACGTATGTAAAATATGGGGAGTGTACTATGAACCTGGGCAACATTATGTCTGTGCCAAACCTGTGTCCCTCTATGCACCACAACAGAGTAAAATGAAATACAAGTTTTGCAGCGGAGGCACAAGTCTGTATTCTCACTCAATCCCTCCACAGTTTTGTAGGCTGAAGTCATCAAAATGGTAACCGGCTTCTGCAGCAATAATGGAAGTGTCTTGGGAGTACAAAAGGATCCCATCTTCCTTAACATTTAACACTAATCATACCTGTCCACTTGAGAACATGGATAAAGGGGCCTTACAAGTAAGAACCTATCCATGTTATTTGAAAGCAAATCTCAATTTCAAGTGGGAGTTGCATTAAAAGAAGCTATCATAACAGTGGCAGATCACTGAGCATCCTCCAGATGCTTTGGATTTCATTCCCATCAGCCTCAGCCAGCAGTGCTAATGAAAAATGATTTTAGATTACGATTCCTATAATCAGACTACACTAGGCTGCCTGATACACAGGATCATAGCAGCAGTTTTCATAATGCCTGCACATACACATGAACCTCTCTGTATTTGCATTATCATGTTCAAGGGGAAAAAAAAAACAGACTTCCCATAGTCAGGCAAGCTGTCCAGATAGTTCAAGAAAGTGAGCTAGGCTGCCAAACTAAGATAAGGGCAGAACAGCTGTGCAAATGCACAGAAAAACCGCTGCAGGCCACAAGCCAGGCTGGCCACTGGAAAACTCTTTCTTGCTGTTGATCTAAACTACAAAGTTGGATAGAACAGGATAGGGTCGTTGTCTCATCCTATCCAAACTAAAGCCTGAACTTTTAAAAAGAAGGTGATTTGCCATTTCCTTCAGCCTCAAGTATTATCTAATAAATGACTTATTCAAGCTGCAATGCAAAGAGTTTGTGGAGAAATAGCCAGCAATATCCCCATTAAGCATTTTCAGTGATAGAGAACTGCAGTTAGGCAACAGGATTTCAATGTTCCGCCTCTATTGCCTTGGGCAAATCACACCTGCCCATCCTCTGACTCCAGGTATAAAGATGGGAACAGTGACTTACCATGCAGGTTTGTTGTGAACCCAAACACGACAGTAAAATAATGCTCACCCCCCCACCCCATAATTATAACACACACAACAAATAAAGAGTGCTCTAATAAATAGAGTGACTTTAGACTAATGGTTTCTCTTTGGTCTTCTATTAGAACAACCCCACAATGACTTGGAACTATCTATCCCTTCCAATTCCTAGTCCTTTAAAACAGCATCCAAATGTTGCCTGGAAAAATTATTCACAATATTCTCTTCCGAAAGAAAATATTTTGAATTATTTTTCTAGAAATCACACCAGAATAATTACACTGACATGTCCTTCAGTTTATTTAAACTCTCTGCATGAATCCGGATAGCCTTTTTTTCAGAATGTGACTATTT